AGAGACAGGATGTTGCAGAGGCAAAAAAAAAAAAAAATGTAAACATTAAAAAAAAAAAAAAAGAAAAGAAAAAGGAAAAAAAGTTTCTTCAGTGAATTTGCTTCATCTATCAAGGCTACTAAATGCAGTGATGCAGATGCTGTTTCCTTTCTGCAAGCCCTTCAACCAGTGGTTGGTGAGGTCTGGAGCAGTACAGCAGAGGAGCTGCACACCCTGCTCTGCACAGCCCTGTCAGACAGGGGGATGGCAGGTGGTCCAGCATCATAGCACAGGGCTGCCACGCTGGTGAGGAGACTGGTTAACTTACAGTTGGTTACAGAAACTGACTTACCTCAAAGACCAAAATTTAGGAATTTTGATCAGACCCTCTACTGATTTTAATCAGCAGGGACCTGATGAAATGACAGAAGCATTCATTACTGCAATAGTGACTGCTGCACACTATAAGAACTTGTTCCAGCCTTTTAAAGCAAGCAGCTACAGTCCTCGTCCTCTTTCCTCATGTCCAAACTCCTGAGGGCTTTCTATTCTGACTTCCAAGGACACTGGCTTTTTGTCTGTTTGTTTGTAGGGCATGATGTAAGCATATCTTTCCTGAAGTAGTCTGTGCAATGAGCTTGACAGAGCTGGAAGATAACAGTTTAATCAGTGCCATGGCAGCTTGGCAATACTGTCTTCTATTAAACCTGAAGATTAAATGCCAGTGTCTTTTAGGCATCACAATTCTATAACTACTTTAATTTTGTTGCTGCTGAAATGCATTTTGCAGTAAAACCCAGGATTTATTTTCCCCATCACAGAGAAAGCTGTAGGATTTTTTTACTATTAAAACATAATAAAATGAATATAACATTTTTTACCAATATTCGCTGTACAGAAGGACTCCAGTCTTCTAAAGAAGACTGACTAAAGAAGTTACTATCATCCAACTTTTGAAGTTTCCTGTAATTGCTCTACATGAAAATCTGTATTTTGAGATCTTCTGAAGACTGCTAAGTATAAAATGAGAACACAGTTCTTAATAATTTGAGGTGCTGCAAAAGTACACTTACATCCAGGTTAATGTCAGACTCTAAATACTAGAAAACTTTGAAAAGACCCAGTGGCAGCTTATTAACAAATATACTATTTATAATGAATGCATTGATACAGAATGACTCTTATAAAAAAGCAAGGCAATCTTTTATATAGACATAACAACATTACAATAATTCAGATTAAAAGACATTTTTGTAGACTGTTTACACTCTCACTTAGCTTTTAACCACAAAATTAGTGTGGCCTGATATTTTTCCACAGCAAAGGTCCTGTGCAGTCCTGGTTAAGATCTAAATAAGAATAATAATAAACATATTTTTTTAAGTATTTGCTAATGTGAAAACAAACCCATTCGTAGATCCTATCATTTGTTTGTAATCGTCCTTACTGTGCCTTGAAGTTTGTGTTGTGCAAATTACCACCAACTGCACATTTCTAATTAGAAGATGTTTTGGCATTTCTTTTGATACAGCTGAGGTCTGACACTGGCAGGAAAATTCTTCGTTGCATCCAGATATGAAAAGTCTCCTGATATGGATTTATGCTGATTTAGAAGTTTAATTTATTTTTGGGTTTAAAAAAAAAGGGGGGAGAGAAAAAAAAACTCTCAAAGCTTTCTAATTGTTAAATAAAAGAGATTTTTCAATCTCCAAGGATTGAAGATGACACGTGAATTCCAGGTGACACAATGGGTTTAAGCACTAACCAGAGAGACAATCCAAGTACCAACTGTCTAAATCATGAGCAAACACAACCTTCAAGATGTCTAAATATGCATGTTCCTAAAAATACTAAATCAAAGAGAGGCACTGAAATGAATATTCTACAATCCAAACCTTTCTAAAAAGAGTGCATGAAGGTCAAAATGAAAAGTCCCAATTATATAACTCTGTGACCCAGCTTAACAAGCAGCATTTCCACTGCACTTATAGCAGACAATTTTGGTGACAAATTTGAATATGGGACAGTGAGAGATACAACTTTTAAAACCTTATGCTAAAAAACTTCTGCAAAGAATTATCAAATTCTTATTTAGCAAATTAAAATGCAATATGCAATGAACATGAGTCACAACAGCAACTGTTCCTTCTTTTCGTGGTTTAGCAAATCTCTGATCTGCTTTATACCTTTCCAGACTTCCATAATACACATAGTCTATAATAATTTAGCTTGTTAAATCAAGGCATGATTCAAGATAGTGTCTATGGGGCATAAGTATATATGCACACAGGCACAGACACATATAAAATTGATATTTTGGCTATGGAAAAGTAATCAAGGTCATGATTTTCCCTCAAAGTAAAAACTGCCATATTTTTCAATTTAATTTTTTGTTCTAAATTTTCCTCTGCATAGCAAAGAGAATAAACATTTAATACAAGTATCTGGGAATTACTTGTTTCTCACTCTTATTTTCAAAAATGCTGTAACTAATTTATTTCTCCACACTGTCTATGCTTTCATACATGTATAGATACACAAATACATTTTTGTATTTATGTATACATACAGTTGTCAGAATGAAGTTCTTTCCATTCATACTTTAACTGATATGGACATATAAAATTCTTAAACATGTGTAAGCCAGTATGTTTGTTCAACTGAATGTCACCAGGCAATAAAACCACCTAGAAAATACACCAGTTAACAATGCAGCATCCTGGGAAATGCAAAAGTCTTATTTCAGGAGGTATGACTATTTTGAATTATCAAAATGGCTGGATTTATATGGATCTATGTATAGATCTCGATATAAATCCATGTGTTGTACTTAAATGGATTTATATGCATGTATTTTCAATCTGTGCCAGATATTTAAAGCTTTAAACTTTTCAGATTCTTCTGACTTGATTTCTCCTGCACAAGAACTTCTCTCACACTGCCCTTATTCAAATCTCCCTTGAGACACTGAAAAAATAAGCATTCACCTCAAAGTGTATAAAATTAAACTCCTAAAACAGGGCTCAGGATTATCTGGCATTGCAACAACCATACTAGCACAAAGATAGTTAAAAAAAATATCCTGTTTTTAATATAGCAATGAATTAAAACATAGCTTTATTTATTCCTATACTGAAAAGAATAGCTTGTTTTTAAGTGAGTGTAACGAGCACTGTTTTGGTAGCCAACTTCTCCACAGGAATTTATGTGAGAGGGTCAGCTCCAATCATACAGTCATTAACCATGTACCTTAACAAGGTGAATAATCAACATATTTACAAACTAAACAAATTCAATCCCTTGGACTCTTATAAAAACGGGATTGAGGAGCAGACGGGGAATGAGACCAAGACGTTTGGAAACACAAGGGGTCGCCACTTTTGCTTTAAGGAACCATATTAATCAAACCAGTTTCCCCCCTAGTGACCTGGGGGCACAAACACAGACTTTGCAGTATATTCAGAACTTCAATTACAATCTTGATACTACGCATTTCAGCATCTTCATATTTTAACACCTTAGTGCTGAGAAAGATTAACTCAGGCAGAACTGTAAGCAACTAGCCTTTTATAAACTAAAGTCTAAACTACAGTAGATGTAAAAAAAAAAAAAGGGAAGGGGAGCAAAAGACAGAGTGTGTGAGAAAGAATAGAACATTACTTAGTAAAATCCAGTGACATCTACAATAGTTTTACAGCATGTTTAAGCCCTCTAAGGTTTTATATCTCCACCTGCCTTCCATTTAAAACTTTCTCCTTGTTAATGAAAAGACATAGAACAAAATAAAATGCAAGTAGATTAAGGAAATATGTCTAAATAAGCACGCTTGAAAGCCAGAAATAATATTCCCAAACTTCTGCACGTGAAACAGATTTCCCATGGCATCCATTGATTTGATTCTGTGCAAAAGTACAGCCCTGTAAGTCACACTACCCCAGCAACAATTCCAGTGAGTATAAACAGAACAGTTCTTGGGCAACCATGGAACGTGACAGCCTCGATTTCTTACCCTCCTGAAAAAGGACAATTGCCCCTGCAAGTGTAGCAATAGTGTAAATCTCTCTGAAGCATCTTCTGCCTTCTGAACAGCCAAGAAATTCATTAGAAAACTGAATGTCCACTACTTACAGTGTTTCTCTTGAGCTACCAACATCTCTGCACAAATGAAAAAGGTGCCTCTTTTTTAACAGATTGGTTTAATACTGAAACAGATAGGATGAAGTTAAAAAAGAATAATCAAGATACTGAACTGAATATTTTGAAGCAAGTGCCCCAGCTGTGGGGAAAAGTGCATTTAGTTCAGCAGCAAAACAGCACAGTGTGAAGATATTGTGCTTGGACACAGAAGTTCCATAATGGAAGGAGGTACAAGGCAAGTCAAGATATAAAACCATAGTACATTGTTAACCAACCTTAAAACTTACATATATTGCAGTGTTTAAAAGTAAGACACATTCATTTTATTGTACAAGGTCTATAAGGAATCCTTAAAATTGCCTGTTGTAGTTTATGACTCGACATTGTAATAAAAATGTACATATATATTATTTCCTTGTCACTTAACTGTACTGTTAGACCTCATGGACTTGTTACTTCACACAATGAAAACCGCTCTTCACTGAGGATACTCCACATTTTTACCAATCTGAAAAGGTTTACTTGTGCTAGAAAAGACCAACTGCAAAAGGCTCAGTTCAGATATGTTATGCCTGCAACTGATAACTCAGGGAAGCAAGACTTAAAGGAATTCAAGCTTTTTTTTTTTTTTCTTTTCTTTTTGTTTTGACTGCATCCTTTTCACCTGCCAGTTGTTCTGATGAGTATGTTTTTAGTATACAAACTGGTTGATAAAAATTCATCAGCAGAGGCATATAAACTCTAGATATGATTGATTAAAACAGAGCAAATCAGAATAAAACAAAAATCCAGTGATTTACTCTGACTGTAAACAATATAAAAACACCATTTGCTTCAAATCTCAAAATAAGTTAAAAGAAAATACCAACCTCAGGGGACATGACCCTTTCAGGTTTTGACACAAAAAAAAAAAAAAAAAAAAAAAAAAAAAAAAAAAAAAAAAAGGCGGGAGTGGGGGAGGAAAACGGGAAAGTTCATTATATAAAGGTTATACATTTCTCTTAACTGAAAATAAATCTAAGCAAAACTGGTTTTGTCCCTTAAAGTCATTGGCAATTGTTTTAAATGAACTGGCATTTTCAGATTATTCAGACAGCTTCCATCAAGTTCAGCAAAGAAAACTTAGACAAGCATTTTTACAGAATTTAAAAAAAAATCTAAATGGCTATGATTCCTCTATTAGCAGAAACACATAATGCAGTCTTAGATTTGCCTTTTTATATTATTTATATATTTATATATATATAATATAATATAAACCACATATATTATATTATATATACATATACAGACAATTACAACATTAATGCAGTTTGTATTTTGTACAGTGTATTGGACAAGTCAATGAGCATCAGACCATGGCACGATATGGTCCCTGCATTTTTAGGAACTGAATGATGAAGGAGGGTCCTCCTGCAACAATCTGAGGTGGAAGGTGGCTGAGCGGGCAGTTCTCAATACTCATTATTGACAGTTTGCTGCAAAGAGCCAGCTCAAAGGGAAGGCTGTGCAGATTGGGGTTGTCATTCAAATACAGTTCTTCCAGATTCTCCAGTGTACCTAGTTAAAATCAAATAGTAAGTATTAGTAGTATCTTTTTGATTCATGCAGTTTCTAGCTTTTAGACAGAGGCTCTGAGTCCACTCTTTCCTATACAGAACCTTCAGTCAGTAAGACTCCTGTTCTCAAGCACAGCAAGTTCTGTTCTCCAGTACCCAAGCAAGAACCAATTTGCTTTAATTTCCTTGTAAAAATATCCATTGGGGCATCTCCTTTAGATAATAAATGAACTGCAAATATAGAGAATAAGAACTGAAAGGGAATTCACCATAGCCATTCACAAGCTATGCAAGTGCAGGCAACATGGAACAGCTATCTAGTCAAAAGGACGTAGGAAATAATTATACCATACAGGATCTATTCCCTCTTCAAAAATATCTATGTCATTCCTTTTATGTAATTAGAAGCCATATATTAAAGACCTGAAGCCATAATTATCATATGTCACAGTAAAAAAGCAGAAGAGTGTGACTTCTCTGCACAGGAAGATTAACTTATGAATTTATTAAGTGGAACTAACAAGTGTTAAATATTTTTCCTGAATTAAAATTTTACAGTTTGCCTCTACTACACATACTGCAATACAGGTTAACCAGAAGCTGGAAAACAGAGTAATTTCTTCTTAAGACTTCCATTCCTCCTTTCAAAAACATAGAAGTCCTCTCCCAAACATTCCCCTTTTTCCAATCTTATTTCCTATAACCTCAGAGATTATTTATTCTTTCACAAGAGAAAGCAGTAGGCAGGACTCTTGGCATAGTAAATGAACAATAAGGAGAAGCTATAGAAAAAACAATTGACAGCATGATACATTAAACAGTTACACCTGACAAAAAGTAACTATTCTCTCATCTGTAAAGACAACCAGCTTTAATAACCAAACTGTACTCCTACAATGGTATTTAAAATGTTTTTACTGATTTTAATTACAGAGTTTGTTTCCACAGCATCCAAACTCTCTCCACTAGCTTATAAATTACAAAACTCTGAGTTTAGATTATTTCAGGTTTTTCTCACATTGAGGCACATGTAAGATGAGCAGCTGTAATGGCTCCTCACCAAAGATCATACGAGAGACAAACCATGCCTTCTTCATCTGCACATCACTCTTACTGCTGTTCCTATGGTACATACTTCACATCAGGCTGTACATATATCAGATACTGATCAGATACTGCATCAAACCGGACAACAGGATCTTACCAATTTCCTCAGGAAGGTGTGTGAGAAGGTTCTCTCCGAGCCCAAGGTGCGTCAGATTGGTAAGGTGACCGATTCCTCTTGGAAGGGTGGTCAGCTGATTGTTAGTCAGAACCAATTTCTAAGGGGAAAACATGTTTTTACAAATTAGATTAATTATTTTTGCTTGGAATGACAGCAAGTAACAAGATATGTGGCTGAAAAATGAATGGGTTCTACTCTCCTGAATTTGAATGAGAAAAATTTCAACTGTTCATCAACATTTCAAATCTCTATCAAGCATCACTGAATGTAAAAATAGAAAGGTGCCTAATAAAACACATGCCTAAACATAGAAGATTTCAAGAGCATGACTGGAATAATTCCTGGGGTGGTATCATGCTCATGGCACAACAGTTAAAACCCTCAAAAATTTTTGTTCAGTATTAACTAATAAAGCTGGGGAACACTTAATGGGGACTAATTGTGGGCAAAGTTGCACAAGACTTTAAACTTTTGTTTCTATGTCCAGTCTCAAATAGTTTCCACTCATCCAAAAAGCTGCAATTAAATCAGCATGGTGTAAATAAAGGACATAAGATGCTTATCTTGACCAATTATTATTTCACCTGCAGATCCTTGAGGTAAGCTATTTCATTTGGCAAGGATTCCAGTTTGTTTTCCTCTAGATCTAACTCTCGGAGTTTCCGTAGATTTCCAATTCCATGGGGAAGTTTCTTTAGGAGATTGTTTGACAAGATAAGAACCTCAAAAAAGAAACAACAACCAAGCACAGAATTTCAGCAACATAATCAGTAAGTAACAGATTTACAGATTAAGATACCTTTTTCTTTATATTTTCAAATAATGAAGCCCAATATTAGCCTACATTTACATTGAGGAAGTAGATGAAAATTAAAAAAAAAAAAAAAAAAAAAAAAAAAAAAAAAAAAAAATTAAAAAAAAAAAAAAAAAACAAGTCAGTGATGAAACAATTTTTTCAAGTCTTTAATGATACAAATACATATATTTAGGATATACTTCTTTCAAGTATTACTATATGTAATAATAAATGCAAAGCAAAAACAATAGAAACCTTATTTCTTCAAATTACCAAAGAAAAACAGTTTCTTTCTGAATTTGCCTATCATTTTGTTATGCTTCCTTACAGCCATCTCATAATCATGTTTTACATTATTTGCTGTGCTTGCCAAGTCCTCCTTTAAAAGCTTAGTACTTCCTCTTCTCCCTATATCCCTTTGGTTAGGAGCAGCAGCAAATAAACACACAGATGGGAGCACCTAAGCAGAGCACTGGCTTTCCAAAACGGGCTGCCATCACACACCCACGCCTACTATAGTGCTGTCCTCTTGTTTTTCTCCTCCTTTCTGAGTTCAATTATAAATACTCCAGGTTCAAGAAGTGTATCCTTACTTGCAGAGTCAGTTAAAAGAGTTATTCATTATTTCACAGGCAAGTTAACAGGGGTTACACTTATACACCATTTTTCCCCTCCAGAGAAACTCTGCAGTTCTACAAAGTAATCAAGCCTCATAACAGCACCATGAGTAGTCAAGTATTTAATTACTGATTAAACAATGTTATTATCTAATTCTTTAAGAAGGCACATTGAAACATGAGGATCTGAAAGAACAGTCAGCATGGACCCTCCTGTCAGCCACACACAACCAGCCAAGGCTGCAAGTGCCTGTCTTTTACCAATAATCCCAATTTCACTGGCTTCATGTAATGTGAAAACACCACAGGCAGGAACAAAACAAAGGCATGGTGAGAATCAAAGTGAAAATCAAAGTGAAAAAAAGCCAATGCCTGAGGATTAGCACAAGCAGCATTTCAGTGACCATCCTTTATGCACTACACGCACAAAGCAGTGAGAACAGTAATATTTTAATCGCGTATCAAGAAACAAAGGCAGGAACAGACAATATTACCTGCGTGAAATGCAGCTGACTTAGCACTGCTGTGGGAACCTTCACTTTTGTGTAAACACCGCCCAGACAGCCCTTTGTATTTGATTTTTTAATTACAGAGAAACACAGTGGTAACAGGTCAGCAAACCAAGCAGCTCTCCAGCTTCAGCAGCTGACAGACCACCAGCAAACCCAGCTGTTAGAGGTTACTAATTTCCCAATCACATCAACCACAGCCTTAACTTAAAAGGGAACTGGGCTATTAAGTAACTATTACTCTGTCATAATTTTAGCCCCACACTACAGGAATAATTAAATAGTCACAGAAGAAGTCACATTAGAAATTTGCAATTTCAAATATGCCATTTGTTATAGCTCTTTAACAGATTTTTCCCAGCAACTTACAGAGCCTAAGTCCCCTCAACTGCCCAAACAAGTACTTCTGTCTTTCTGTCCCTCCAAGGCAATAATTTGTCTCTGCTGATGGTACTCTGAGAAACAGGATGAGGGGACAGAGCAGGTTTAGTTCAAGCTTTTAACCTATGAGTTCTTCATCCTCAAAGGCTGAGAACTCCCACCTGGCTGCCTGACACTCAAGCCTCTCATGGCTGTCAAACATTTCATTATGTTTTTCTGATCCATGCTGCTTCCATGCTGGTCTCCAGGAATTGAACCAAGTTTAGCAACACTGCATTTACAACACTGATTCCTGTTGAGAAAAAATTTTCTTCTACCTGGCTAAAAATATAGCTGTACCATAGTGGTTTGTGCACAGTCATCCAGAGTCTAAAGAACATTCAAAAGCCATTGACAGTGGCCACAAACAGATGTAACAGGGGATTAAACAGCACAGATATACATATTTATTTAGCTTTATTTGACTCCAAAGTAATATTACTTAAACCCGAAGCAGAGAATCCCTATATTGCAAGTATTCATTTAGCTGTTAGCTTATACTCTTCTCACCTCAAGAGAAACAAGCCCAGATACATCCTCAGGGATTTTTGTGAGCTGGTTAGTTGCTAAATTCAGTTCTACCATACTTGTCCATGTCCCGAAATCCAAGGGGAGAGATGTCAGCTGATTGTCCTGTGATTTAACATATCAAACATTTAGGGTCTACCCTTGCCAGAAGTTGGGAAGGCATCTGACAGATACACGAACTGCTAAATAGAAATACTTCATAACAACATAGTTGATAGTGAAATCAGAAGAATAAAATGTTGGTAATTGGCCAATTTATTTTTTTTTTTCAAACTCCACCAAATATTAGTGGTACCAATCTAGAGTTACAGAATTGACTCTCGTTACTAATATGAACTGAAGTGGAAAAATTAGAAGCACTTAATTATCAAGCTCTCACACAGTGGTTAAAACATTTTTTGTCCTCTTTCTGCTGAATACAATGAATGGTGGGTCCAAAAAAAGAACAGAAAGTTCACCATAACTTACAAAGATGCTATCAGCAAATGTTTGAATCCTAAAAATATATGGAGTTTTAAAAAAATCCAAACACACCAATCAAGAGAATAAACACCACCATGTAAAAAACCCACCAGAACCCATACACCAAAACCTGCTGAGGGGAAAAAACCCAGCAAACCCACAACCAAAAAAAAAAGAGAACCAAAAAAACCCCATGTACTTTAATGGCTCAGAGTAAAAGCATCTGAAATTACTCTGAACATGTTACTGCTCAAAATATTTTTTAAGTATTTGATTTAGACCAGACACCAAAAGATCTTTTAAGAATGGTCACACAAAGTTGTGGCAAACAGGCAAATTTACAAATGGGTATGTGAAAAAATCTGACAATGCAAACTGAGGATTCATTTGTGTCAAACGATTCTAAAGCAGTAGCTGAGCTTAGCTACTGCTCAAGGATTTCTTTAAATAAATCTATTCATATAAAAAATCATATTTTTTCCCTACTTTAACTGTATTAGCACACTTAAAGCCTCTTTTGTTGTGCTCTTCAACTATTGGCAAAAGTCTCTAGACTCAGGTTTTGAAAGACCATATTATAAAAAATTATTTTACACACTTCTGTTTATAATGTAAACTGTAAGTGTCTGAAGGAGAAATAAGCTAATCTACATGCTTGTGTCCCATGTGAATATTAAAGAACTTTGCAGCCAGCTTTCTTATTTTCATTGTTCAAACTCAAGCAAATGTGACAAAATCTTAACTAACAAACATAAAAACCATTTAGTAACTTCTTGATAGCACAATTTTAGACTAATACAGAATTATTTATGTATCTAGCAGCAGCATCCACTTCAGCAAGATAAATTCATTCCTTACATTATTAAGCCTGCCAGAATTCATGGAGCTGCAAACAGTGCTCCTCATTGATTTTACACAGTAGCATGTTTCTGTGCCTCACCTTCATGTTCAGCTTACTTAATACTTTAGCTCTAGAGAAAATTCCAAAGGGGATTTTATTGATGCGGTTGTGCTCCATATTGAGAGAGTAGATTGTGGAGAACTGGGACGGGCCACCCACAGGATAGGACTGGAAGCAGTTCCTGGCCAATGTTAAACTAGTCAGTTTGACAAGGCTGGATAAAAGACCCTGTAGAAAGAAGAAAACCACCCAAGAACTTAGGACAGATTTATTTGAATGCGTCTCTTTTCCCTTATGGGTCTAATTAGAAATGCTTTTTCCCCCTTAAGTCCATCCCCTGAAGAAGTGTTGCAATACACAAACCAGTGTTAAATTTGATAAAACTTCCACCAGCAACAACCTCTGCTCACAGTCAGCCCCCTTCCTCCCTGCATGCTGACAGATATAAAAAAGCATACATAGCATTTAAAAGCACAGGTTTGGGAGGTTTGGTAACTCTTTACTACTCTGAAAGCAATTTTTCTAATGACACGTTGCTCCAGGAGCACAGAGGTAGCATGTCCATCCCATCTCCAGCAGCTATTTTGGCTCCAGCAGCTCACCCACATCAAAATGGAGACCAAAGAAATATCAACCCCACACAATGGCTCCCAGAAGAGGCATTTGATAATTCCAGTACAAATCGTTGGTAACATCATAAAAATCCATACTGCGATCACAACTTGTCAGTGTCTTGTAATTATACCATAATAGTTTCAGATAATCAGGCAGAGAAAAAGAAGAGGATGGGTTGGAAAATTCCATTGTTTTTTCCTTTTTCTAAAATATTCCTAAGTAGTTACTGCTCTATTATTTTTCCCCTTAAAAAATAAAAAGCAAGAATCCTGTAAGTAAACTGCCTAGCAAGGGCTGCCCATTGAATCCAGAGTTTCATTTCTTTTGACAATCTAATTAGATTCCAAAATCCCGGCAGCCCATATCTCAGTTCATCTGTTAGCTGCGTGCCAAGCACGTTGCTGGAACTGTGGAGATGGATAATGAGATCTAAATTACTGCTGAAGTGTCACCTTTGCTTATTACTACACCAACTTGAATCCAGCCCTATTTGCTTAAGTATTACAGAAATTGAAGATTCATGCATGACATTACATACCATAAATAATGCAACATCTGCAATCAGGAATGAGCAGTAACAAGATAATGATTCCAACCATATTCCTAATGTCAGTATTTCTGGATTGCAATTTGAGCTCCATATTCACTGTGAATGCTTTAAGAACATGGCTTTGCTGTTTCACCAGGAAAGCTTTGGCAACTTTTATAAATAGTTATTAACATTATTGTAAATAAAATAAGATCTAATAGGGACTTACCTACATGCCTTGGCTAAAACTTTAGACATTGGGGGCATCTAGTAAATATCAGTGAAGCATTTTCCCCACTACAGATAAAATAATGGATCTTCAAATCAGTATTAATCTAACTTAATCATTAATTAGTATAATCTTTGGTTAGGAAATATTGTTTCTACCTATTCTTTAATTAACAGATATTAGTCCTAGGGTTAGGCAGTCCCTGAGCTCCAACACACTTTATTGTTCAGATGGATTTTGGCATTTCAAAAAGCTGGTTTTGAAGGCTGCTTGTATACCAAAAAAATACATAAAATATGTTAGCTAATTCACTCTAATAGCCCAGAGTAATTAAATGCACTTGAAGGGAAGCAAGAGAGCTTTGGCAGTACAAAGAGAGCAATGCTCTTACATCTATGAGAGCTGTGGCAGTGCTGCCTTCTTCCAGACCATCCTTTTAAGATAAAATATTTATTAGGCATTGTGTCAGCAGCTTCAGCTATGTTTTGAAACTCAGAAATTTCTTCTACAAATACAGTTCTTTGTCTTATAGCGCAAAATGTTTTATTTTAAACAGATTACAGTATAAACTATACATTTCTGCAAACTTAAGTGTTAGCATATTGTGGGCAAATGTACCTGAAGAAGGCAGCACAGTTACTAAGAGGTTTGTATTATGACTGAACGTGTTTTAAAGCAAGTAATCATCCTTCACATTAGCTTTTTGTAATTACACTGTAGTTGCTTTTGTAACATGTCTGGGTGGGGTGAACTATCTTAGCTCTCATCCCAAAAGCAGCTTGGTGGCTTTCACTCTAGCATTTTCTTAAATTATAGTCTTGCCCAAACATTTATTAAATTCTCTGTTTCAGTCTATCATTGCTGAGCTCAGAAATTTATCTGAGGAAAATTAGTTACTTACTGCCCTTTGTTATTGCAAATACTTTGCCTAATTCCAAATGCTTTTTTTTTCCCCTTGTATTTATTTCTTACAGACATATTTAGATAACCTTTAACCTCATTTTATACTAGTAATTTAGACGACTTGGGGTCATAGGGATGACCATCATTAAAACAGAAGAGACTATAAAACTTTATGTTGTGTCATGAAGTCTTCATCTTAAAAGGATCTAAAGAAATTGAATAAATATCCAAAATAAGAAGCAATCACATCAGATTTTTTTCTGTCATCTGAACAATTACTTCCAGGAAGTAATGCTTCATGAAGCAGAAACACTGAGAAACACTTATATGGCTTGAAGGGTGGGAATCTGAACTCATTATTTAAGTTTTTCTAAAGACACAGCACAGCAAACACAACCACATGTGCTGCTCCCAGTTTTGACTCAAGTTGTATGACATTAGTCTTTCTACACTAAATATACCTAGTATTTATATAATTGACATAATTCACTTTACTTTTAAGTTAAAACAAAGGGTATTCCTCAGAGTTAAGATGCAAGATGAAATAATTTCCCTTGTTCCAGTCCCTTTTCAAAACATCAATGCACTCCAGCAGCATCCCCTCCCCAGTCCACTCCCTCTATTCCTCACCTCTGGTAAAGTAGAAATGTTGTTGTTCTCCAAGTTCAGCTCATCAAGTTCACTGCATTTTGCTAAAGACTTGGGAATTGCTGACAGCCTATTGTACCTCAGGCCAAGACGACTTAGACTGGACAGATTTCCTAGGGGTAGAAAACAGGTGTTAATATGCTGTGAGAATCACACAAACACAGAACAAGGTGTGACTTCTGATTCTTCTATTGTCTTTCACATTACACTTCAAAATTTCAAATGGTGAAATGGAGCTATCATCCCAAAACAGGAGACAGATTTACAATGCTGAAATCAACCATGCAGAAGTAGATTGTGCGTATTAAATATTATTCTGAAGTTCTGTATAATATGATAAGCAAACAAGGCTTATGTCCTATTGTAAAAGTCCTTCTATCCTGATCTTTCTATCAACAAAACATACTATCATTTTCCCAGATGTTCCCAAAATGACTTTTTAAAATTACAGGCAGTATCATTCAATGCCATGAATTATATTACCAGAATTTGGGCATGCCTCATACAACTCGGGTGCTGGAAAAACAATTTCCTCTGCAAGGAAAAAAAAAATCCCCACAGCTTTGCCATCTTCCAACAGCAAGAAAACCTTTAATATGTGATAGGAAAAACCTCAGAATTTCCAACATTTAGAGTGATACTGAAGGAAAAGTCTGGATGAAGTCTACAAAAATCTGGACAGTAATGCATGTAAAAATACTTCTGAATACTGCTAGGCTGATGGTCCCAGTTGATGTCTTTCTGTCAGGGAATAAAAATATCGAGGAACTTGCAGCTTGAAAAGCTGAAGCTAAAAGCTTCAACCTTTTCCATCTAACAAGTACTAAAGACCAAAACCAACTGCTCAAGGATGTTGTTGAACTATAGTGTGCTGGGGCATTTAGCCTCTCCTGCAGGTAGCAAGGCCTTGAACTTCACTGAAAAGCCAACTGCCAAATTGTACACAGAAACTTGACCTCTGGCTCATCCCTGCAGTCAGAAAAGGTATCTGTGCAGGTCTGGGCTTCACACCAGGGGAGCTTGTGAACATTCACACAATCAGTTCCTTGCAAAACATTTGCTGGTTTACACTCACTTTTACAGCCACACACGGCACAACACCTTTGTTCTGAAAATTGAAGTACCAGCCTGACACATTAGAAAGGAAACAATGCATTTAACAACCAGAAGTAATTTTAAAAGATGAAGAGGTCTTAATATGTACAGCCTAAATGCTCATTAAGTGAAGGCTGTTTTAGTGTCTATGCATGTGCACTTACACAAAGGCTACTGCAGCACAGCAAAGGAAGAAGCAAATTGTAGAGTATGTCCGTTAGACAGAGAAAAACTTTCAACAAAGCAAGAGGCAAAATATCTCTTTCCTGAACCTGGTCAAAATAAATACCCCAACATCACCAAATAGTTGGGAATGTAGATAATAAAAATTTGAAACTAGAAAGAATGCTGTATGATTTCACTGTAGTTTCTAAAACAGAGAAGTTGCAGAAGGACTGATAGTAAAACAAAAAAAAGCACCAAAAAAGAGCAGAAAACAAAAAACATTAGTTCCCCATAAAACTGCAACTGAAAAAAATCCAAAACCCATAAACCCCTTAATATACAACAAAAATCATCTACATCTTACAAATCAAGAAAAAAAAAAGGATGAGTTTTCGGTGCATATCTGGTAATTATCTGACAACCTTGGCAACAAATTTTACTTAGTACCAGCAACAGCTAAACAAAAGTCACAACAGGTAGCTACACATCATTGCTTAACTTGTCATATTTTCAATTGGGATTTTGAGTTCTATTTTTTAAAGCACTGGATTCTAAGCTAGTATAAAATTTTTATAGAAGCAGCAAAGAAAGTGTTCACTTAATCAGAAAAAGGCATTTAAAATCCAAGGCTATCAATATTGCACTCCGGTGCACAAATCTTCATCTTTTCCTGTTAAATCCTGCAATGCATATTCACACTAAAGAGAATAATTAAGACCTGTTCTGATCCTGCAGTCCACTAGTATAAAGGCACAGATTTGTACATAACTTAGCCATTTCATACTGTATTTGTGAGATCAGGCATTGCTGGCTGAAAAAAAAAACTGGCTTCACTTCACACAAAAAACATTCTATTGCAAGGCTCCAAGATCATTAGAATTTGCCATCCTAGGGATGAACAAAGCACACTCTGACTGTATTTATCTGAATTGTTATTTAATGTTTTACTAAAGAATGAACAACAAACTTTACACAAAATAAGATATAAACCTACTATTCTTTTCACTACCTAAAACATGCACTAGATGCTGATCAGGATTTTCAGGCAAACAGGGGAGTAGACAGCATGATGCCAACTGTTGCTTAGCAATACAACATTGCTGTGCCAGTTCCAGATTGCGAGCACAGGCTGTATGTATATGGCTCTCTTCCTACCAACAATGTGGCATTTCAGAAAAATGAAACAAGGCAGACACTAGAGAGAGTCAAAATGTACCATAAAGAAGAGAATGACACACGTTGGCGATCCTCATGACATTATCATGAAGAGAAAGGAGGCATAAATAGCAGCTCTCATTAATTTCTCCTTATCATAAGTAGCATTTCTTAATAGAACTTTATCACTGTTTCTTTACTAGTTATCTTTCTTCTCCATGGGAAAGGCATAACAGAAGACACATCCTCTGTGTACCACATTCCTTATGATTGTGTTACACACCACGGCACAATTATTCCTGAGGACAAAACCAATATTTCAGCTGCAGCTGCATCAGTAGCACCTCTCCCACTGCTCTTAGAAGGATTGTCCTGGGCCCAGCTAATGCAGACAACATGAGCCACCTTCTCATTTCAAGCCAGAATTTATTTACAGCCCCTCAGTCTTCAGTCAATAAGGCTCAGCTATCATTTCATCATTGTGAATGCATCGGCAGTGTGAAACCCTTATCATCTTTTATCTTCACATGCTGGACAAGCCACATCCTAGACACACCTTCACAAAATAGGATACAGCTCTTCCCTCTGCCCAGTGTGTCTAAGTTAACTTTTCTTTTTAACAGGAATGCACCATGCACCAGTACAATGTTAACATTTGCCTCCATGGTCCAGGGGCCAGTTGGCTAACATGAAAACTAAGTGACGAACTGTTTTAGCACAGAAACTGTTGCAAGATGCTTAAGACCACACCTGGTGCACCGAACCATCAAATGATCCCACTTACAGCTCCCTGAGCTCAGGATTACCTAGCAGATAGCCATATTTGGAGTTGCTTTACAGTGCTTGCACTCATCTCCATCATTTCCAGCTCAGCTACTGCTTTCCGAGATGGAACAGCACGAGGTATCTGCTGATGGGTTCTCAGGTAAGCCTAAGGAATAAGGCAAGGAAGGCAACAACTGATCATGATCAGCTCAGTCAGACTGTCACCAGAACCATGTGCAGTTGTACTTTCGTCACTGAAGCTGCACCTCAGCAGCTGCTCTGAACCAGCCCCTCGCAGGTAATGACTCAGAAAACACTGCACTAGATGTTCATGTACGTGACCATTTGGTAACCACAAGTGAAAAGCAAATACCAGCAGTAAAAGCAGCAAGCAAAACGCCTTCCAACTTGTTTTCTTAGAGAGTCTGTTATGCAAACCCTTGTAAACTCAACTGCCTTATTTACTTCTAAAACAAGATTGCAAAGCCTGACTAAGCCCTAAACTCACACCAGGCCTAAGCAAGTCACTGAAAAGTCACTTGCTTTAGTTCAACTTTTGTCAGAAACAGCTACTCTTGCAATTCAGGTTTCACAGATGCCTTGTCTCAGGACCATTTTCTCACCAGCGCAGTATTAACACCCATGAGCAGATGCCAGCTCTCATGGTAGAAGCAACCTAAGCAAAGAATTCATAATCCCTTCACTGGAGTGACTTTATGTCTCTCAGAATTAGCTGCTTCATTTACACAGAAGTGAATTAAAAATCCTTGGAAGCATGTTTTTTTAGAAATATTAAACTGATACAATAAAAGGGATGTGAAATAGATGGTTTAAATTATTTTTTATTAAGGGTACTTCAAAAATAT